TTAATGGCTTCATTCAATAAACAGGAATGTGTAAACTCTTTTCATGGCCTTCCAAATGACTCTGAAATAACTTTCCTCTAGGTCAGTGCTTCTCAAACTTTTTTCAGTAATGTACCCCCTTTGAAACATTTTCTCAGCCACGTACCCCCTGACCGACCCCGAACATTTTTGGTCGAAAAAGCCTATACAAATAATTCCAATATAGTGATGTTCCCTCAGTGTGTGATGTCTTAACTCCTTCATGCATTACAACAAACTAAGGATATTTTCATTTTATGCATGAAAAAAAATAACATAATGAGGTTTTTTTTTTAAACGGATTTTTCCAAGGAGTTTTTCAACTGAAGTAATATCTGTTTAAAAAGCCAATGAACAAAATGATATAATGCAAAACTATAAAATACAATACACACATTTGACATGTTTATATGAGGACCCCCTTGGTGGTTCTAGGAATATTTTATATAAAATTTGTGTTTTCTATTTAACTTATTGTACTAAGATTATTTTTATAATCATGCATGGTATTTTTTTAATTAACTTTTTTTCGTTTTTTTTAAATCTCACGTACCCCCTGCAGTACCCCAACGTACCCCTAGGGGTCCGCGTACCCCCATTTGAGAATCACTGTCTTAAAGGATAAAAGATAACCCCTTGAATGGCCATTTGTACATCAGAAGCTTACCATGGTTACCTTGAATACTTCACTGCAGTAATACTATATCAGGGTAGTATGCTCTCTACCGAACGAACGAATGCTTTTTTGCTTAAACCTTTCTTTATAATACACCTCTGCATAAACATCTTCACGCTTCGGTGGCGTTTTATTCGTCCGTGCAAATAGTGTTTATTGTTAAGATAAAAAAAGAAGAAGCATGTTGTGGGAAGTATTCAGCATACGATTGGATTTTTTAAGACGCGGGTTGTATTGCAAAGGCTGCATGTGTGAGTTAGAAACAGTTATTTTATGTTGTTAAACATGACTCTTAATTTAAGAAATGGTTCCATTTCTGTTTCCTTTGTTAATCGTGGAGGCATTGAAAAAAAAAGATTATTTAATATTCCTTTAATGGCATAGCTCTTATCCTACGGTATGTGTTGTTGTGATTGCATGTTGCATGTCTTCCCATCGATGTCTAAAGACCTCCTTCATCTGTCTGATGGTTAACAGGTTGTTCCCCTGTGTGCGTAGGATCAGCCAGGACCTGGCTAAGGACCTGGCCATCTTAGCGCGTGAGATCCACGACGTGGCGGGCGAGATCGACTCCGTCAGCTCCTCCGGCACCGCCCCCAGCACCACGGTCAGCACCGCCGCCACCACCCCGGGATCAGCCATCGACACTCGGGAAGAGGTAGGCCCTGCACGGCCCACGCAGCCGGACATACAGGAGAGCATGAGAAAGGTGCCTGTTCCTCTTCTTCATCACTGCCTTGCTTTCATTGCGCCTCTGCCACCTCTCTCCTGAGTTGCTTGGGTAAAACTGGCCCTGTTGCTTCGTTGCTATTCATTTGCCAAGAGAGGTATTCTTTTTTTACACTACCGTTTGCTTCACTTTCATTCCTTTATTATATTTGCTATTATATGCTTTACATACTTGCTCACGTTCTTTCTTTCTTACTTACTAACTAACTAACTAACTTAATAACTATCTAACCAACTAACTTAATAACTAACTAACCAAATAACTAACTTAATAACTAACTTAATAACCAACTAACTTAATAACTAACTTAATAACCAACTGACTTAACTAACTAACTGAATAACCAACTGACTTAATAACTAACATAACCAACTAACTAACTTAATATCTAACTAACTTAATAACTAACTAACTTAATATCTAACTAACTTAATAACTAACTTAATAACTATCTAACTAACTTAATAACCAACTAACTTAATAACTAACTAACTTAATAACTAACTAACTTAATAACTAACTTAATAACCAACTAACTAACTTAATAACCAACTAACCAACTAACTTAATAACTAACTAACTAACTAACTTAATAAGTAACTAACTTAAAGGGCCCATGTCATGCTTTTCCGGTTATTACCCGTCCCCTTGTGTGTTATGAAGATTTATATGCATGTAAACGGTCTGCAGAGTCAAAAACCCTCAAAGTACACCCTGTAGGGAGTAAAACTCTAACACAGAAAATACCTCCCCAAAACGCCTCATTGGAGATTTCTCATGTTCTTCCTGGGCATCGTAACGTCTGGATACCCAGTAGCCACGCCCAGAGCTATGACGCACCCTCTGCCAGCCAAGCAACCGAGCCGGTATTGTACTGTGTGCGCAACATTTCACGGGCCATAGCTTCACAAACCTTGCAGCGATTCATGCCGGATATGCACAGCGTAGGGCACTGAAGGACGATGCGGCAGTTTCACTGTACCGGCCGTGTGTACTTAGACTTGCATGGCTTAATCTTTGAGACAAGCATATGCTACTGGCAGGATCAACCAGGTAGCCTGTGATGAAGTAGGGTTGACCCTATATCATGTGAAGCTACCGAGCACCGGTCCCCAGGGGAACCCCTCACATTCTTCCAAAGTAAAGTTT